GGTTAGCCACCCAGGATAACCCAAGAAGTCAGTGCGTCATCGAGGACTGTAACTTATTTCCATTGGGTCCTTAATCTTGTCCCCAGGATGCGACCCACACCAGTCGACTAACACCCAGGTACCTATTTTCTGCTAGGTGAACAGGACAACAGGTGTAAGGAAACGTGTCAGAATTTTTTCACCGCCGGGAATCGAACCGGGCCCTCCGTGTGTGAAGGGGGAGCTTTAGCCACCTGGCCACCGGGCTTTTAATAATTTCTATCTTTACCCCATAAAATCCCGGCTGCCTTACCCCCTTTCATTTTCCCTATGCCTCACGAACTTTCCCCCAACTCACAATGGCTCTTCCTCACTCCTACAAGATGTTATTCCTCCTTGTCTATACACAAAATCACGCTTCCCTATCTTCATCAACATTTAAAATTTCTTAAAATATTCCCCCATTTCCCAATACCTCTAACTCTCCATTTAAACTCCCCCCCTCCTATTTTTAACTGAAAAAATCCATTTGTTCTCTAGGCTTTCTTATTTTAATCTCACTCAAACTTTTTCTTATTTTCAACAAAATTTGTTGATAACATCTCACCCACTCTCTCATTTGCTCTCTTTTTACATTGCTTCACCACTCTCTTAACCTCTCTCTTTTTCTCCATAACTCTTCCCTCCTTGCATCACTTCTACTTTGTAAAAACTTCTCATATGCAAACTTTTTTCTCCTTACTACTCTCTTTAAAATCTTTCATTCCACCAAATCGCTCCTCTTCCCTCCCACACCCACTTTCCTGTAACCACAAACTTCTGCTGAACACTCTAACACTACATTTTAACCTACCCATACCTCTTCGACCCCATTGCCTATGCTCTCATTGCCCTTTCTATCCTCCAATAGCTGTTTATATCTTACCCTAACTGCCTCCTCTTTTAGTTTATAAACCTTCACCTCTCTCTTCCCTGATGCTTCTATTCTCCCTTTTATCCCATCTACCTTTTACTCTGTGTACTACAACTAGAAAGTGATCTGATATATCTGTGGCCCCCCTTTTAAACATGTACATCCTGAAGTCTACTCAACATCTTTTATTTTACCAATACATAATCCAACAAACTACTGTCATTTCGCCCTACATCATATTTGTTACTTATTTATCCTCTTTTCTTAAAATATGTATTACCTGTAACTAAAAACCCCCTTTTTATACAAAGTTCAATCAAAGGGCTCCCATTATCATTTACACCTGGGACCCCAAACTTACCCACCACACCCTCTCTAAAGTTTTCCTACTTTTAGCATTCAGGTCCCCTTCCACAATTACTCTCTCACTAGGTTCAAAGGCTCCTATACATTCATTAACATCTCCCAAATCTCTCTCTCTCCTTGCATTCCTCTCTTCCCAGGTGCATACACGCATATATATATATTATATATTATTTTATATATATATTAATATATATATATATAATTATATATATATATATATTTATATATATATATGTATATATATGTATATTTTATTTAAAATATATATTTTATATTATATATATATTATATATAATAAAATTATATATATATATATAATATATTATATATATATATATATATATATATTATATATATTTATATATTATAATACACGCTTTCTCTGTACTTAGGTGGTTGCAGGCTGCAGGGGTTGATTCACAGCTCCTGCGTGTGTAGCACTGTATATGAGATGAGATGCCTCGTGTTAAAGTGGTAATAGTCAGTCGACCATCGACAAGGTGGACCCGGGAGTACACCAACATACATTAGAGAGTGTATGTTTCAAGAAAAGGTTTCCCATGTTATTAAGGAAAATCGAATGTTTGCAAAGAAAAAGATACATTATTATAAACATCGCACCTGACCGTAACCCCCAGAATCAGAATATCGGAATTAGTAAAGTATGTAAACGTACTAAAATCATATCTCTGACTCGAGGCTAAAGAACGTAAACATACAGAATCCATCCTCGCTTTGAAGAACGTAAAAACACTGAAACGGATATAAAAATCGGTGTTCAGGAAACTATAACACTAAATCCGGCATTTCTGCGCCGGCGTTGGTGGTCCACTTCCGAGTTGATCATTAGCGACTAATTTACTTATTCCCTTCCTAGGATGCTCGTCTTCAACCAACTGATCGCCTTAATTCTGGCGATCGGCTATTGATCCGTGGAATTTGAAAAATTCTTCCCATCCTTGGATCTAACATGACTGCCTCATTCCCCAGGCTCTGTATGACCCCCTCCGAGTTTATCGTTTCCGCTTTTTTTTTTTCTTCTGCGGATTTTTGCGGCTGTGGGGCGTACAGCTGGTAAATGATATCAAGAGAGTGTAGGCACCTGGCTTTGTTGGGTTTAAAAAAAAAACACTCAAAAATAAAAAGTATTCACAAGAAAATATTATACATTCAATCTACACTTGGAAAATCCTAGGAATGGTCCCTAATCTGTACACAGAAATCACTCCCTACGAAAGTAAAAGACTGGGCAGGCGATGCAAAATACACCCAATAAAAAGTAGGGGCGCCATTGGTACACTAAGAGAGAACACCATAAGTGTCCGGGGCCCAAGACTGTTCAATAGCCTCCCACCATGCATAAGGGAAATTACCAATAGGCCCCTGGCTGCCTTCAGGAGGGAGCTAGACAGATACTTAAAGTCGGTGCTGAATCAGCCAAGCTGTGGTTCGTACGTTGGACTACGTGCAGCCAGCAGTAACAGCTTGGTTGATCAGGCCCTGATCCACCAGGAGGCCTGGTCGTGGACCGGGCCGCGGGGACGTTGATCCCCAGAATACCCTCCAGGAAGTTAAAATTATCCGCATCCGTTTTAAAATTATTGAATGTTTTCACTCATATGACCCCCATAAAATTCCCTCTACGTTTCTACATGTGCCTCAGCCCTAGCGGCCTGGTCCCAGACCTGGTCTCCTGGAGAAACAAAGCCTAATCAACCAGGCTGTTACTGCTGACAGCACGCAGTCCAACGTACAAACCACAACTGCTGGGCAGGCACTGACGAAACCACAGCCGCTGGGCAGGCACTGATTTGAGGAACTTGTCCAGCTCCCTCTTTAAAGAACGCCAAGTGCATATTAGTATTTACTTTCTCGCCTCCTATGTTCCAAGGGACTTCAAGCCTTCCCAGCTCAGATGCTTAAGTGTATATGAGCGGTGAAAGTTACCCGTACGCTTTCCAACTCCACAATCTAGCCTGACTTGAAGGTAGCCGTCAGTATACAATACAGCAGTATTCCAGCTGGGGGAGAAAAAATATCATCATTGGCTCAGCATCTCTTGTCTTGAAAGTTTTACTTACCAAGCCTATAATTTTCCTTGCGGTAGCATTGACAACACTGTCACAGTAATTGTAAATGCCATAACAAAAGAAAAGGTCGAAGACTAGACAATATATCTAATTTATCAACTTGTCGGCTCTCTGAACCATTTATCTACACTATACACTGAGTTTGTGCTCAATCACAAGTCACACAGAGGTCCGGATCACCTGTAAGCAAGTGCCTATAATTGACTCACGAAATCGTAATGACACGATTGCAAACAAACCACACCACGGGCGGGGTTAGAATCCGCGATCAGTCTCAAAACTCCAGACCGTCGCGCTAGCCACTGGGCCAGCTAGCCACAACCTGGCCTAGCCTATAACCTGGGATCTTCATGAACAAAAACGACCATACTGGTACATTAAAAGTTAATTTTTGTTGATATTGTTATTAGTTGCTTTTGGATGTTGGTCGTTGTTCTTATTGGTTGTAGAATGTTTTGCTGTTGTAACTTTTTTTATCATACTCTTTGGGTAGCTCTAAAAATAGACAGAACAAAGTAGAACAAATCTTTTCTTACATTATCCCATTCCCAGGTGATGACTTACGGGTTTAGCGCCTTCCCATGAATAATAATAATGAAAACGCACCTAAAGAAATGAAATAATTTTCATTTTAACTGATAGGTTAACAAATAAAATGTTTATGTACTATACTGTATATCACATGCCTGCTACCTTTCTCTGGGGAGATGACTGGTGGGGCGTGGCTATTCCCCGATACTTCACGAAATTAGCAGATCAGATCATGAAAACTCTCATTTTCACTCTCTCCCCACTTCTCTTTCATATCCTGCGTATGTGCCAACAAATATCAAGTGGTTCCTCTCGACCAATGTGCGTCAGCAGTGTGCATCAGCTGCCTGAGTTGGTGCCCCCCCCCCCTCTAATCCAAGCCCTCTCCAATATAGTACAACCACCCATCAGCATCAACTGCCAAAGATGATACAGGCTAACTCATGTTAGTTTCAAGAGTACATATAATAAAGCCCAACTCGTGATGCCCCTAAAAGTATTATAGACAGAAAGAGAATAGGTTATAATCATAACAATTTTTAAAGGGGTGGACCGGTGAGCCAGCGGAAGCCCTCGGTCAGATGACCAAAACCTCCAGCTCCAGCTAAGGGGTTGTCATATGACTAAGACCTGCATCAAGAAACTTCCTGTTTCCTGACAAACATTATACAATACCCATAAAAGTAGTCTACGGCGTGAGGCCAGGAGTGGGGTCTCGACCCCCCACAAACACAACAGTGTAAAACTCGTGAGAACACATACAGAAATGGAATTAACTAGACAACGAAGTGTACGAGGCAGGGTCTCTACGCTGTTTTAAAAGGTATGATAGGGCTCACGAGACTAGGAGAGTAAACCCAGTAACAGCCAGATAAGAGGCAGGGCCTGGAGGTGAGATTCGATCCCTGCTACCACAAACAGGTAAGTAGAGGAGACTGGAATCTACCCCGGCACACACAAATCGGTGATTACATACACGCAGGCGCACATACACGCGCACGCACGCGCACACACACACACACCCACACACACACACACACACACACACACACACACACACACACACACACACACACACACACACACACACACACGAGCGAGAAATAAGGACATCGACTCACCTTCCGCCATTGTGCAGCAACAAAAGTAACAAGCAGCAGCAGGTGGAGCTTGCGACAAGTCCGTCTCTCTCCTCTAGCCTCACCGGGGAAAGTTCTCAAAAGTTTCTTATTCCCAAATCCGTTTTCAAACAAGATCTTAATCTACTCAAAGAGGACCGCAAACCTTTTATTTTTTTAATTTCACGTAATATCGTAAAACAAGTACTAGATCCCAGATTGTATTCTTTGAAAGCTCTAAGGTGAGGCTTTTATTTCGTTTGAACTCGAAAGAATAAAGTGTAATCAAGCAGTGTATATAATCAAACCATGACGGAATATGCTGCTTTCCAAACTCTCACATGGACTGAGCGAGAGCACTGTTGCACACCCACCCTCCAGTGTGTCTAGCAACTGATTGAGAGAGCACGCAGTGGCTGGCTCGTGGTGGTCTACCCTCAACGTACGCGCACTCCACTCAGGTACCATAACGTTTGTTCCTCCTTCCTTCCTAGTTATTCCTTACCATTACTCATCTACGCAAAAAAAATCCAAATAATAAATATAAAACTAGATTAACAATAATATACCATTTATACAAAAGACGAAACAAAAATAAATATCAGTATGACGTACAGACTCGCTCAGTTACCAATTAGTTATATTCATTTTTTTAACTTTAATCAATACATATATGGTACATAAACAATTACCGTTCAGAATAATTAAAAATCATAAATTAACGTAATGACAGATGTGAAGGCACAGTTAACAGCTTGTTATCAGAAAAAAACAGCACATGAAATAGCTAAAAACATGAAAGAAAAACTACATGATTGCAAACTGATGGAAGATAGAGGTATGGGTGTGTGTGGGAAACAAGCAGGTTGCAACACTAGGGTTGGAAACAGTAAATGTATAAAAGGCATTCAGCATGAAGTTATAAATAAAGACAATAGAACAGGTCAGAAAACAAAGGGGGACAGCAGAGGGCAGCAAGGGACTAGCTCCCTTAAGGTTTACTATACTAATAGCAGGAGTGTTAGAAATAAGATAGATGAGCTAAGATTAATTGCAAGTGCAGGAAACATAGATATTATTGCTATAACAGAGACCTGGCTCAATCTGAAAGATAGAGAGATGCCATCTGAATGTCACATACAAGGCTATAAATTATTCCACACTGACAGGGTCAACAGGAAAGGTGGTGGAGTAGCGATGTATGTCAGAGACAATTTAAATTGTTGTGTTAGACAAGATATTAAATTAGAAGCGTCAGCCACTGAATCTGTTTGGTTACAGCTTCTCGAGGGCCGAGAAAAACTAATTTTGGGTGTGATTTACAGGGCCCCAAATCTTGATAGGGAGTGCAGTAAACTTCTATGGGACGAAATTTCGTAAGGCATCTACATACGAAAATGTTGTGCTAATGGGAGACTTCAACTATAGACAGATTGACTGGAGCAATTTGACAGGAAATTAGAGTCGGGTGACTTTCTTGATACGATCCAGGATTGTTTTTTAAAACAGTTTGTGACAGAGCCAACTAGGGGAAATAACCTCCTTGACTTGGTTCTTGCCATAGGGAAACACTAATTAATAATCTTGAGGTTAATGATGAGCTTGGGGAGAGTGATCACAAATCACTCAGTTTTAACATATCATGGAATTCCCCTAATAATGGCAATCAAGTCTCCGTCCCTGACTTTCGCTTGGCTGATTTCATAGGACTGAAAAATTACTTAGGTGGGCTGAACTGGAATGACCTGACTAGGGGTCAGGTAGGTGGTGATGGTTGCCGATATGATGCTTTCCAGGGCATAGTTCTAGCTGCTCAGTCAAATTATGTTCCAAATAGGGAAATCAGATCAAACAAAAATGATCCTAAATGGATGAACAATAGATTAAAATATCTGATTGGTCAAAAGAGAGGCATATATAGCAAATCAAAAGAGGAGGGGCAATTAAGAAATCGATATATTCAGTTAAAGAGAGAAATAAAAAAGGGAAATTAGAAAAGCAAAAAGAGATTATGAGGTTAAAGTTGCAAGAGAATCGAAGACTAACCCAAAAGGATTCTTTCAGGTATACAGAAGTAAGATCAGGGACAAGATAGGCCCACTCAAAAGTTCCTCGGGTCAGCTCACTGACAGTGATAAGGAAATGTGTAGAATTTTTAACACATACTTCACTCTCAGTTTTTTACACAGGAGGATACCAGTGATATTCCAGTAATGATAAATTATGTAGAACAGGACGATAATAAACTGTGCACTATTAGGTCACAAGTGACATGGTCCTTAGGCAAATAGATAAAATTAAAACCTAACAAATCCCCAGGCCCTGATGAACTGTATGCAAGGGTTCTAAAGGAATGTAAAGAGGAGCTTAGCACACCTTTGGCTAATCTTTTCAACATATCACTACAAACTGGCATGGTGCCAGATAAGTGGAAAATGGCAAATGTGATACCTATTTTCAAAACAGGTGACAGGTCTCCTTAGCTTCGAACTATAGACCAATAAGCCTAACCTCCATAGTGGAAAATTTATGGAATCAATAATTGCCGAGGCAGTCGTAGCCACCTTGAAAAGCATAAATTAATCAACGAATCTCAGCATGGTTTTTACAAAAGGGACGTTCCTGCCTTACGAATTTATTAACTTTTTTCACTAAGGTATTTGAGGAGGTAGATCATGGTAACGAATATGATATTGTGTATATGGACTTCAGTAAGGCTTTTGACAGGGTCCCACATCAGAGACTATTGAGGAAATTAAAGCACATGGAATAGGAGGAGAAATTTTTTCCTGGATAGAGCATGGTTGACAAATAGGCAGCAGAGAGTTTGCATAAATGGGGAGAAATCAGAGTGGGAAGCGTCACGAGCGGGTGTTCCACAGGGGTCAGTGTTGGGCCCCCTGCTGTTCACAATCTACATAAACGACATAGATGAGGCATAAAGAGCGACATCGGCAAGTTTGCCGATGACACCAAAATAGGCCGTCGAATTCATTCTGACGAGGACATTCGAGCACTCCAGGAAGATTTGAATAGACTGATGCAGTGGTCGGAGAAGTGCAGATGCAGTTTAATATAGACAAATGCAAAGTTCTAAATGTTGGACAGGACAATAACCATGCCACATATAAACTAAATAATGTAGATCTTATATTACGGATTGCGAAAAAGATTTAGGAGTTCTGGTTAGCAGTAATCTGAAACCAAGACAACAGTGCATAAGTGTTCGCAATAAAGCTAATAGAATCCTTGGCTTCATATCAAGAAGCATAAATAATAGGAGTCCCAGGTTTTTTTCAACCTATACTCCTTTGGGTTGGGCCTCTTTAGATTATGCTGCACAGTTTTGGTCACCGTATTACAAAATGGATAAAAATTTCTCTGAAAATGTAAAAGGAGGAGACAAAGATGATCCCTGTATCAGAAACCTTCCCTATGAGGATAACAAAAGGCCCCCTGAAACTGCACTCTCTAGAAAGACGTAATTGGGGGGATTGTTTGAGGTTTATAAGTGGAAACGGGAAAAAAAAAGGGGATGTAAATGTGTGCTGAAAATATTTTCCCTAACGGGACTCGCAGCAAGGTTTTAAGGGGAAAAAATTCAGATTCAGGGGGGATATAGGAAAGTACTGGTTTGGTAATAGAGTTGTGGATAGGGGAACAAACCCCCAATTTAAACCGATAAAGGGGCCCCAAAAAACGTTGTTAGCTTTAAAAATGGGTTGGAAAAAATAATGATAATGTGGGTGGGTGTGAGTTAGACCTGATAGTTTGTGTAACGGGTGGGTTTTGCCGGTTCCCCCTTAAGCAGTGTGACCGACCTACTAGGGTTGGGTGCTTTGGGTTAAGCCGGGGGGGACTTGGACCTGCCTCGCATGGGCAGGGGGCCTTCTGCGTGTTCCTTCGTTCTTAGTTCTATTTCTTATGCCTACTACTGGTCTAGGCCTTTTGATAACGGAGGAAGTGTCAGCAGCTACCTTCACCATGTTCACTATTAATTAACAGCAACGAGTATTGTTGTATGTGGCAACACATGCTCTGAGGTTTTCCCCCTTAAAAAGTATAAGACAAAATTATGGTGTAATACACATACACGGGGTGTACCGGGGATATACATGGATATACCATATTAATTTCTGTGTTAAATTTCCCTTTAATTCCTCTTTAGAAAAAACAGTGTATAAAGAAATGCAGTGGATTAACCCTAAATCTAACCCCCGCCACTTCCCCGTATCTTAATAGTCATGCCTTACCGGGGAGTAAGGGCAAAAAGACACATTCTGAAAGGTTGCACATTATCAACTTACTGAATAAATTGAAAATGACGGCAAGGAGAGACATGGGGAAGTCTCCCAACACCTTGGAAAAAAGGGGGATCAAAAACCGACAAGTGGGAAAAATAAAAACATATAAAAGTAGGGGGGGCCATTGGAAAAACAAAAGAAAACACCCTAATGTCCGGGGGCCCAAAAATTTTCAACGCCTCCCCTCAAGCATTGGGGAATTTTCCAATAAACCCCCGGCTGCCTTTAAGAGAGAGCGGCAGATACCTAAATCAGTGCCGGGCAGCCCCCGGGTGTGGCTCGTACTCGGGCTGCGTGCGGCCCAGCAGTAACAGCCAGTTATCAGGCCCTGACCATCGGGAGGGGCGCCGGCCTAGGGGCTTGATTCCCGGAAATTAACCTCCAGGTAACCTCAGGAATATAGTATAAATGGATCCTTTATTGACAAATTTACCCACACGTGGGTGAAACCTTTTACTTTGCACCCTGGAGTAAATACCTAGAGTCTATTATGTTGGTTAGAATTACCGAAATATGTTAAGCAACGTAATTGATAAAGCTCCTGAGAGTGAAAATGTCCAATAAAAGTCACTCATTGAACTTGCCTTCTACCTAACATACCTAAGTCAGTAAAGTATAAACATGTGCAATTGGGTACCTCAATAAAGGTACCCAAGAGTTGCACGTGTCTAATTTAATCAACGTGTCCTACAATAAGTTAAAAAAAACCACACAGACAGCAAACAGGTAAACACGGTCATCCAGTAAGAAAAACTGGCCGCACACAAATTCCACACTATGTTGCTGTTCGCACTAACTCCTAGGTTGAGGGTATTACCATCTACATATTTACTGTCTCAAGTTAAAGGTCCTAGAATTTGTATTGATAAACCACTGGATGGCGAAACGTTACAATAAAGATACCAGATTTGCCACAAGTGTTAATCCATCTGTCAGGTATTGATAAATCCATCTACACCCAATGAAAATAAACTGTTACCCAGTGAGTAAAAAAAAAAAAACCGAGTTAAAGAGCCATACAAAAAAAAAAAGTCAAACAGAAGCAATAATTCAAGCAGTTTTCAGTCTCGACGTCTGCACGAGGTAGGCCTT